CCCCCCCCCCCCCCTCCAAATCTCTCTTTCCCCCCCAAAAGATGTTCTTGTCAGAATTCCCATCAGATAAAATTAGGGCCTGCTCCTCAGCTGGCATTAAAACAACCAGCTACTTTTTACATAACCTTGATTGCTGGGGCACAGTGTTGCACTTCTGCTATTTTAAGGCTCTGCAGACACCACTTCTTGATTTAGCTACCAAAACCGTGGCAAAGGTCGCATTGCCTTCTGCCAAAAAGCAAAATTCTCCTTTGCATCGCCTTGCAACACTGTTGCCTTTGCATGGCATCATTTATGAAAGAGAGGATTTCAGCACCCTGAAAGCGCCTCTGCTTACACTTGTGAGGATAAGATTAATAAGAAAAAAATAAATAATAAATTTATTATTAAATAAATAGTAATTACGTAGCACTGGTGAGGCCACATCTGGAGTACTGTGTCCAGTTTTGGGCCCCCCACTACACAAAGGATGTGGATAAATTGGAGAGACTCTGGCAGAAGGCAACAAAAATGGTGAGAGGGCTAGGGGACCTGACTTACAAGAGACTGAGGAAACTGGGCTTATTTATTTAGTTAGACTAAGAGGGGATTTAATAGCAGCCTTCAACTACCTGAAAGGAGGTTTGAAAGAGGATGGAGCTGGACTGTTCTCAGTGCTGGAAGATGACAGCACAAGAAGCAACAGTCTCAAGTTGCAGCAAGGGAGGTTTAGGTTAGATATTAGTGAGACTTTTCTCACTAGGAGGGTAGCAAAGCGCTGGACCAGGTTACCCAGAGAGGTGGCACAAGCTCCATCCTTTGGAGGTTTTATGACCCAGCTAGACAAAGCTTTGACTGGGATGTTCTAGTCGGGGATGCTCCTGCTTTGAGCAGGGGGTTGGTCTAAATGACCTCCTGAGGTCCCTCCCAACCCTCGTTTGCTATGAAATGAAAAAGAATGAATGAGAAGAGCCTGCCAGGGTTAAAAACAGAAAGCATTAGGAGAAGCTCCGTTTGGAGGAGTCTCTCAGGGAGGATGAAAGAGCCGTGGTGCAGCTCAGAGTCAGGAACGGGGGGTGGGGGGTGGATTCTACAAGGCTGCTGCAGTGCTGGGTACTGTTTGTTTTTTTTACCAAAGCCAGAGCAAGCCGTAAACAGGCTTCGGTGTCAGAGGAATTCAAGCCGCTGGGGTGGAGGGAGGGGACTGATGGCCAGCAGATCCTATCTGCCCGCGCTGCACCTGCACCAGCACCAGCACCAGCACCCGCAGCAGGGGCCGGTGCGCGGCCGCCCCACCTTGTGGCCGCGGTAGAAGGCGATCTCCTCCACGTTGGCCAGGATGCGGGCGTGGACGTAGCGCAGGTAGCCCTTGCGCTGCGCCTCCTCGGCCACCAGCCTGCCGAAGCGGGGCGAGCAGGCTTTGAGCACCCTTGCCGTGGCGTACACCACGAGGCCGGCCAGCAGCGTGGGGCCCACCGGGCTGGCGCCCCGCTCGCGCGCCGTGCAGATGAGCGCGTAGGAGGTGAGCAGCACGTCCAGGATGGGCTTGGTGAGGTTGGAGTAGAGGTGCGCCACGGACTGCGCGAACAGCATGATGTCCTCGGTGAGCGACTGGTCCGGCGTGGGCAGGCGGCCGTCCATGCCGCTCACGCGGTAGTAGGTCTGCTGCGCGAAGTAGGTCTCGTAGGCGCGCTCTACCAGGCGCGTGCGGAGCGCCAGGGCCAGCTTGCCCTCCAGGTAGCGGATGGCGCTGTTGACGAAGGTGGCGGGCACGGCGATGAGCAGCCACCGCAGGAGCTGCAGGGCGAAGCGGCGCGGCTGCTTCTCCACGATGCTCTTGACGATCTTGCCGTCCAGCCGCGCCACGTAGATGGAGAGGAAGGTGCGCGACACCAG